GAGATACTAAGTTACATTGGTAAGTAAATGAATCATTTTTAAAATAAATAATTATTTATTTGTTTATAATAGTAAACAACATTTAACGACTTGTTTATCGAAAATAAGAACTGATTTTTAGGATTATTTGTTTATAATAACTAGCAAAAAGTACATAGGTATATGCAGTATATATTTGATCAACTAGTAAGTAGATCGATGGTGCAGTACAGGCGTACTATCCAGATGACATGAATAATCAAGGGAGTGTTCAAAGTCATTTTTTTATGAGTAATTTTGGTACAAGAGTGAATTTTGTCTGATCCAAGAGAGTGGTTTGAATTTTTTCTCAAAGAGTCTACTAGTTGTCCTGCAACAGAGTCTCCGCCTACCACATCAAACAGGAGCTGCTGCCTGTGGACCCTATGCAAGCTTTACGTAAGGATTTTATTTGGCATTTCATACAATTTGATTTGAGAATTTACATGCCATACAAATAAATGGTACTTTATATCTATGGTAAACTTGATGAAATCGTGTTTGGAGCTTTTATAAGTAACTCGTGCTGTAAGTACCTGTTTCACTCGGTCGAAGATAACGTATTTATGGACTTGTTCCTGTGTAATTATGACCCTAAAATCAAACTTTAATAGCTAATCTCCTGAAGTAATATACATTTTGATGCGGCCATTAAAAGAATTTTTAATTCTATCTTTAAAAAGGCAATTACATTTATAGATAAATTTCCGGGAAGGCGAGAACGAATGGAACTAATAAAAGCGAGATTGAGCGAGGAAAATTTTTTATCTGCAAACCATACGGTTTTATAGTTCATCTAACTTTTCTCGGAACTCCACTAGAGATTAGATTGGCTGTACTTGCAGTCGCAGTGGTCGCAGTTTGAGCGAAGAATCACTGGGTCGAGGCAGTCGCATCAGTGACACGCAACGGAGTTGTAATTTACTTTGTCAAGTCGCACGGACTTTCAAGCATTGCGTTTAAACGCTGCCTGGCTCTTTATGATACTGGTTCAAGAATAGGACAGAAAACGCGAGAGTACAGAGAAGAGTTGGAGAGACCGCGATGTGAGCTGTCCTCGTGTGTCTGACCTGACGTTGACTTGTATCACTTATGGATTGCAGGTCAATTTATGAATCCCTTCAGTCTTTGTTTAAGATGGCCGAGGTCGAGATCAAACTGCCCCGCGCGAGCTCGGCAACGTCTTCCGGCGCGAGTCCACTGCTCTTTGGTCTCCTGCTCCTCATCCTCGTGTGTAGCCCAACCTCGTCCTCGTGACCACACGGTTCCAACCAGTGTCCAGGTATAGGTATCATTGCAGGGTCCTTGGCGCTGTGACTGCCATTGTCACTGCCGTCATTTATCCACCTGCAATGGCCACCACTCGAGGCCTCCTACGGCTTTTGTACATATGTTAAGGCTGTAATCGCATTTGTATTTTTAACTATTTTCATGAAAAAAACCAATTTTTTTACCGGAGATTCACAGCAACTTTTTACTTTTTTTTTACTTTTAATTGTTTTTTTAAACAGCGTCCAATGGTGTTACTATCATATTTTGTATTTATTTAAAAAACAAAACAACGTTTCGGCCGTTTGGACAACGTCCCAGCCATCATCAGGTACAAAAATCTCTGACTTCTACGAAAGGGATGTAAAGTCGTAATGTATTTTTCTTTTTCTAGAGAATTTTTTTTCTTTCTTATGCTATGTCACACGATTTGACCTCTGATTTGCATGCTTCAATACAGAATCATGCTAGAATTCAATTTTTAAATTTTTATTCATGATTTAAAAATGATTCACGATTCAAATTGAAAAAGCCCGGTTAGTATATACGTGAAAGGGATACAAAAAGTATAAACGGATGGTGCATTAAAAAAAACTTTTCCAAAATACTTCATTTGCGAAAAACGCACTTGCAAAGCTTGGTTTTCTCATGGAATATAATAAAAAAAAAAAAAAAAAAAAAAAAAAAAAAAAAAAAAAAGTCTCGA